CTTGTCTCCCAGTTCACCGGAAATGACTGGAATCTGGCACTCACACAAGAGAATCCTCTTCTCTCCCCCTTTCTAAACTGTGGGCTGCCGTACGCTCCTGATTTGTGGCAAAACTAATAGTGTTTCTAAGATAGGAGGGAGGTTCACTGAGTGGTTGGTTTTCCATTGCTATCTACCTGGGGAGATTAAGAAGCCAGGCCCAGCACGCCAACGCATGGCCAAACACTGATTCTTGCCCTGCCCTTTAATTGAAGCACCACATTTCTGAGCAGCTTTCTCAACCTGCCATTTCTCCTCCTCGTTGTCTGCATCAGGTAGAGACGCGGTTCTGTGCAAGGCAGACCCCAACTTCCTGCATCCGCTTATAGCAATTCTGTGCCTTCAACTGCACATTAAGCCCCAGGTCATGCTGGAGGCCAATCTGCCATTGTTCCTTTAGCTTTAGCTGCTATTTTTTACATAAGCACTACAAATACAATAGTAAAGGTAAAGGTTCCCTTTGACAATTTTTGTCCAGTCGTGTTCAACTCTAGGGGGCGGTGCTCATCCCCGTTTCCAAGCCATAGAGCCAGCGTTTTGTCTGAAGACAATCTTCCGTGGTCACATGGCCAGTGCGACTTAGACACGGAACGCTGTTACCTTCCCACCGAGGTGGTCCCTATTTATCTACTTGCATTTGCATGCTTTCGAACCGCTAGGTTGGCGGGAGCTGGGACAAGTGACAGGCGCTCACTCCGTCGCGTGGATTCGATCTTACGACTGCTTGGTCTTCTGACCCTGCAACACAGGCTTCTGCGGTTTAGCACGCAGCGCCACCACGTCCCACAAACACAATAAAGATTCAAAATTTTAAATCAAATTACCAAAACAGCAATACATAATCCAAACAGGCACCAAATCTCATAGCTGTTCTCTTTTTGCATGACTTCCCTTTGTGAGAAGAAAATATGTTATTCCAGAAAGAAAATCCCCAGGGCCCTAAATTCAAGGCCTAATTCCTTTCTAAACTAAAAAGGACAACCAAAGCTTTTTGCTCAGGAACCCCCTGACAAAGGGTTACGTTGGCACCCCCTTGTTTTTCTGCAATCCATGATATCTGCTATGCAAGTTCTCCTCCAGCACATTTTGAATGGATTTGCTTTTCTTCTGACTGTTTTCTTCCTTCTGTTCCTGCTGCCTTCAACTCTTCTTGGCCTTATTCTTTTTTTCCACCACTATCATTTTTTCTGGTGTGTCCAAAGCACAACAGCTTCATAGTAATCATATTCCCCTCCAGAGATAGCCCAGGTTTGATTTGATCTAGAATCCACTTATCTATCTGACTATCCATGGTATCCACAAAACTCTCCTCCAGCACTACGCTCGTTGCAGCTAGAAACACTGTAGCGGAGACAATCTTGGCCTTGTTCTCCAATGACACCTCTGTATCCCGATGGATGGTGTGTTTTGTTTGTTTGTTTGCTCTATGCAGTCAAAGGCCTCACTGTAATCCCAAGCCACCTTAATTCCTCTGGGGTAGAAAGGAAACAAAAAATAATAAATACATACATCTGTGCAGAGTGGAATGTTTTTCCTTTGTGGTTCTTGCAGTAGCCAACATATATTTGCACTGAGATCTCTAGTACCTCTTTTAAAAGTTTCTTTTCTGGAACCCAGCTTGAATCTCAGGCATTTCCCACTCCATATTGGGGGAAAGCTGTGTTGTAACACTTAGAGCATCGCTTTGTTTGCATGGGATGTTAGAGCAAGGGTCCTACAATGGCGGCCCTCTTTGGCATCCCCTTTCTTGAAGACTGGAATGTGCATTGTGGGCTATTGTTTTGCCTTCCATTTCTGTTGGGTGTACTGTATTCTTGATGAGATTTGAATGAACTGTCTACATAGCTTGAAATAGTTCCTTGGTATCCCCTTTACTGCTCCTGATTTTCTTCTTCTTTTTTTGAGAGCAGCTTTCACTTTCTTTTCTAAAACTGAGAGCTGTCCATAAACAGGTTCTTCTTTAAAGGACTCCATTACCCTTCTGTATAGCTTTGCAGTACTGTATATTGTTTCCCAAAGTGGCTGCTTCTTTTTATTTTATCCCGTTCCCTTGTGGATCTTTAATCATCTCTAATCTAGGTTTAAATTCTCCTTTGATTTCATGAATCTTAGAGATCTGTTTCCCCCTTTTCGTTGTTCTTTCATGTTTCTTCACAATAATTATTCTAACAGTTCTCTTTATTCCAAGCCTTAGTCAGGGAACATTTGCCTTTGGAGCTCTGACCTAATTTCTGTCACATCTTGCTTTCCATCTCTTGTGAAAAGATTGACGAGTGCTGTCGGTCAGCACCAGGACACCTTCCCTTCTATTATCACCGCTGCCTGCACTGAGTCACCGGGGAGGGAGGAGGGCGGATTGGAAGGTCAGGGAAGAAACCTGTGTGTGCACATGCACACCACCATACACACACCAGCACACTCCTCCTGTTGCCTCAGCACAAAGCAGGGTCAGCTCTGTCCTGCTTCCACCAGTGCCCACGCCTGCCACCCGCTACAGTCAAGCTAGCACATGAGTTTCTTATGATCCTTTGGAGCCTGGTGCACACACTGTGCGTGAGTGCCTGTATTGGAGGGCACTCAGCATGCCCCCTTAGGGCCTTTTCTTTCTCTGCCTTGAGCACCCTGGCTGAAGCGTGAGTCGCCAGGGCGACCAGCATGCCAGTCGCTGTGGAGATGCAGCTGGTAATTCCTGCCCATTCCAAGAGATGCCCTGACCAGCTTCCTTGGATGAGGTGGTGGTGGGACAAAGAAAAGCACATGGGACGTCCCTTTGTGTAGGTTGGGAGTTCTCTTTCTTCAAAATGTCCTGGAATCTATTCACGAGGATTGACAGAAATGGGAGGGGGGGATGCAGGCGTATGCATGCTTGCATGCAGCCTTTGAGCTGGGTCCCCTGCTTGGGAATGGGTGAAGGGCAAGAGGCTGCAAGAACTCTTCCAGGATGGGGGGGGGGGGGGGGGCTTCCTGCCACCACTCAGCCTGAATCCTTCTGTGGAAGGGTAGCTGCAACAGCCCCACACCTGAGCTGGAGAAGGAACCAGTTCTGCTCACACCCTGGAGGACATCAGGGCTGGCCTGAGAAGCAGGGAGGTTTTGGAGCCTGCGGCTGTTTCATTCTCCTCCCCAGCCAGCCCCTCCATCCCTGGAAAAGGCTCAAGGGTCTTGGGGGGGGGACGGCTGCTGCCTGGGGAGGGGGTGGTGTGAAGGCCATCCAAGGCCTCTGCCAAGATGCTGGCAGTCTCCCTTCAGCCCTTGGGGTGAAGCCTCTCCCCGTCTGCTCTGCCTTCAGGGATCCAGCACTGAGCAGCTGCGTCTGGGGGCACCTTCTGCCCTGTGCCACGGGTGCCCCCTTCATAGACAGACTGGGGGGAAGAGGCAGCCTACCAAGCCCCTGCCAGCCACCCTAAGCACCCTCCTCGGGCACCCAGTCGGGGGATTGTGTTTGGGGTGTGCCTGACGGGGGGGGGCTCCCAATCCGGCCCAGGCTGGCATTTCTTGATACCTTTGGTCAGGCCCGGCACCCAGAGAGACCTTGCGCGATGTATGTATGTATGTATGTATGTATGTATGTATGTATGTATGTATGTATGTATGTATGTATGTGTGTGTGTGTGTGTGTGTGTGTGTGTGTGTGCGCGCGTGTGTGCGCGTGTGTGCGCGTGTGTGCGCGCGCAAAGATGCCAAGAGGCTCTTGGGCGGCGGCTTTCCGTTCCCGGGTGGCAACCCGTCGAAAGCGCCTCCCGAGATCCGCTCGGTGTCCTTCAGGTTGTGTGGACGCGCCCCGAGGGGTGATCGGAGACGGGCTCCGAGCCCACGCGGCCCCTTTTCCTCCCCGGGAACCCGTTCCCTTTTGGAAGGGCCGAGGGCGCCCGCGAGCATGTGCAGAGGGACCGGGAGTTTCCCCCCCCCCCCGTCCACCCGGCGCGCCGGGCGCGGGAGAGGGAG